TCATGGGGCAGGATAGTTGACAAAGGCAGAGTGGCTTCCTGGCATGTCATGATGCGAGCAATGTTCTACGAAGGAACTGCTTCGTGGTATCCATGATAGGGTTTCTTCTTTTCTGCATTTTCCCTCAAAAGGGAGGTCGGCATATTGTGTTATGGTTTACAGCTAGGCTGCGATATCTACGATTTTCGGCCACACATTTATGCACTGTAGCAAAACTTCTAATTAGTCACCTTCTACAACATGTTTGTTGGGAGTAGTGGTTTTTTCGCTCCAGAATAGGTCCTGGAACCCATGCATAGCCATTCAACTTTAATCTAACATTGGATGGTGAAGGTATTCATGTCTCTCAACTAGGTGTAGGTTCCAGGGCCCTATTATAGGGAAAACAAGAATAGACCCACTGCCTACACAAAAGCACGTCGTAAGAGTCGACTAATTAGGAGCTTCCTTTGGAGTCGGAGTGCATCTGTCTGAGAGGCATGAAACCAACATGCAACAATCAGGTTCTGAAACAGGACTGCAGTTCAGAGATAGCCGGGGACGAACAACATGAACTTTCTGCCGGATTTTACAGCCGGTAACCGTGCAGAAGAAGATATCTCTCAACAGCATATTATTTTCCAGTTGATGGTTAAAAGTGTGTTGAGTATTATTTACAGGAGGTTGCATAACCACCTCCAGCATGTATTAGTTGTAGTTTTTCTATGCAAATTTAAGTTCAATAGTTTCTCACTGCTTACTAAATGGTCGGCTTTAGATACTACTGTTAGAGCCAACGCAACGCAGTCTGCTGTCAAATCACATGAAGCTGGGATCAAACCTGGCATTATGATGTGTGTTCACAATGCCTAAGCCGCAGTTTCCAACAGTTGGTAGTAAAACAGTTGTTTCCTCGACTTTCTATCTGATCCACGTATGCTTTCCTGCTGGATTTATTTTAGATAGAGTTTACCAAAATCGTAATTTATTTGTGTGCTGATTAACCTCGGCTGCAGCTTCTGAGTGAGTTTACCTGCTATTGTTCAACTTGCATCTTACAACCCTGAGGGCCAAGCTATTTATTGAACACTTCTCATTGATTGTGCGCTAATTATTTTATAGCCACATTTGCCCTTAACGCAACTTCTTTCACTTGTATCACAACTGTCAACACTTTATGACCATCATAACTAGCATGTATCAACCCTCCACACATATTGCATCAACATACTGCTAAACAGCTGTGGCTCCACTACTAATTTAGTAAAGTACGTAAAGGACTATTTTCATGCCACTCACACCACACTGGGTATATGATGCTAGATTCATATTTGTATAGCCAATTATGAGTGATATGGTCAACATCACACCGGCTGCCTATACTTCCTAAGACTTTACCTGGGACCCATGTTGGGTTTGGTCAGCCTGAGAGCCAAATGTCATTGATGTTAGAAAATCTCACTGGGTGTAAATTCAAACCAAAGACCCTTGGGCCAAACATTATAACCAAGGGTATGTAGATGTAAAAGAAATGAGCAAGCTGATAGGCTTGCAAGTAAGGTTCCCGAGGAGGGTGGACTAGCAATGGACCAGGCAGATATACAGAATGATCTATGAGAAGTAAGATGTTTGCTAGAACCGAGTGATGAGTGTGAATTCGCAACCATGATCACACTGCAAAAACAGCAGTTTACAAAGTGTGAGGCTGAACATAAGCACTGTGCAGGAAGCCAAAGATGAGTAATAAACTAATTCAAAACTGGTGTTGTCAGGTAATACGCACTGCAGAATTCATTTAGGAGGAAGTCTCAGCACTTATGAACTGAATGGTTGATGTGCAGTGAGGATGATCTTTTGACTAACTTTTAATCCCAATGTTTTCATTCTGTAAAGTAACAATCTTTGAAATTATATTTTCTCTTAACAAGGGAACATAATACCCATATGAGAGAGCAAATCAAAGTAGCAGCAAGGACAGTCATGGTAAAACAAGAGGCAAATATCACTTTTCTTCTGTGTTCATCTGAAGAAATAAATGCATTGTGTCCATTTACAATATGGCCTGGTATTTGTGCCTTCAGGCTAACACCTCTGACTTCTTCTTTCTTCTTCTTCTTCTGCCTTTCTATCCCCCAATGGAGCATAGGCCCTCAACCAACTCACGCCAAGTCGTTCTATCCTTCGCCATTGCATGGAGCTCTCCCTATGTCCTCCCAATCTTTCTAACCTCATTCTCCAGCTCTCTTCTCCATGTGTTTTTTGGCCTTTCTTTATTCCTATGCCCCTGTGGGTTCCAATGCAAAGACATTCTAGTTATGCTGTTCTCCTGTTTTCTCAGTGTGTGCCCTATCCAATGCCAGCATCTTTTCCTCAACTCCTGATCCACTGGAGCCTGTTTAGTTCTCTCCCAAAGTTCTACATTAGTTATTCTATCATACCATTTTATTCCCTCTATTCTGCGCAGGCACTAGTTAATGAATGTCTGTAATTTATTAGTAATTGCCTTGGTTGTTCTCCATGTTTCCGCCCCATACAATTGTACTGATTTGACATTAAAATTAAAAATTTTTAGTTTAGTATTTCTTTTAATTTCTTTTGACCTCCACAAATTCCCTAGTGCTATGAAAGCCCCTCTTGCCTTTTGTATTCTAATTTTAATATCTCTATCAGTTCCTCCATCTTTATCTACATTACTGCCTAAATAGGTGTACGACTCCACGTCTTGGAGTGGGGTGCCATTAAGAGAAACCACATTCCTATTTGCCTGATTTATTCTCACTATCTTTGTCTTTCCTTTATGGATTTTCAGACCAAGCTGCTGTGATCTCGCATTAAGTATATTTAATTTATCTTGTATCTGATTCCGTGAATGGGACAGAAGAGCAATATCATCAGCGAAGTCCAGATCATCAAGCTGTTTTGTAGGGGTCCACTGAATTCCATTCTTGGTGTTAGCAGTTACTGTTTTCATAGTCCAGTCTATTGCCAGTAAAAATAAGAGAGGCGACAAAAGACATCCCTGTCGCACACCTGTTTTTATTTCAAATGCATCTGTTAGCTTTCCCTCATGAAGAACTCGACATTTCATGTCTTTATATGTTGCCTTTACTAAGTTGATAATTTTCTGTGGGATTCCATAGTGCCCCATCAATTTCCAGAGAGATTCCCTATCAATGCTGTCAAATGCTTTTTCATAGTCTATAAATCCAATGTAAAGTGGTGAGTTCAGTTCAATGCTTTGCTCTGTTATAATACGTAATGTGGCTATCTGATCAGTACAGGATCTGTTTGACTGAAAACCTGCCTGCTCATCTCTTAGCATTTTATCAATAGCATCTTTTAATCTTTCCAAAATAATTCTACTTAATATTTTTCCAGGAACTGACAGCAACATAATTCCTCTATAGTTTTCACACTCCTGTAGATCACCGTTTTTGGGCAGTTTCACAAGATATCCTTCTCTCCAGTCTACTGGTATTTCTTCGGTCTCCCAGACCTTACTGAATAATCTATGTAGCAATTCTGTTGATGTGTTTATGTTGGTCCTGATGGCTTCAGCTGGGATACCATCTGGGCCTGACGCCTTTCCTTCCTTAAGAAGATTTATAGCTTTTCTAATTTCCTCTTTGGATGGTATCTCACAGTTGATATCCAGTTCCATTTCAAAAGGCTGGATATCTGGGGGAACCTCTGGGCCTGGTCTATTTAGAAGCATTTCAAAATATTCAACCCATCTGTCCATTTGATCTTTAGTGTTAGTAAGTACTTTTCCTTGACTATTTTTGATCCAGTTGGCTGACTATATATACCTACTAATTTTCTTGTGTTACTGTAAAGTTCTCTGAGGTTTCCTTTTGCTGCTGCTGTCTCCGCTTCTTGTGCTAGATCATTTAGATATTTCACTTTATCTGCCCTTATATGCCTCCTAACTTCCTTGTTGGCTTCTGTGTAATTCTCCTGAGCTCTAGCTTTAGCAGCTCTAGTTTTGCTATTGTTTAATTCTGCCTTTTTACTTTTCCTATCTTCAATCAGTTTAATGGTTTCTGGTGTTATCCATGCTTTATGTTTCCTTTCTTTCTTGCCAAGAACTTCTACGCAAGATTCATTCCAGATTCCCTTGATCTGATCCCAGCAGACTTCTGTGTTGACATCTTCAGCTAACTGCTGCAACACCTGGTACTTATTAGAGATCGTAACTGAGAACTGTTCCTTAATTTCTTTATCTCTGAGAAAGCCTACATTATATTGGTTTATATGATTATAAGATGTTATATATCTTTTTAGTTTCAACTTGATTTGATTTCTCTGACTTCTGCAGGCATTCAATGCTCGGGTTAGCATTTCCAGCAACAAACAAATGACTTGTAAGAAGTTGGGAAAGTATACCTTGGATAGAGAAATCATAAATGCATAGTAGTTTAGCACTAAAAATGTTAACATGCAATTATAAACTCAAAAAATAATTATTCAGGAACAAAAATAATATAGAGGTTGTGGGCAGGATGAGAATCAAAGCAGAGTTGTTCAAAAAAATAAATAAAGGAATCAATGAACCACTGTGGAAACAGTGAAAGACCAGCCATGCTGTCGAAGAAAGAAAAAAAAAGAGAATTCTGCTGTTGATGTGGACTGACAATGGACCAATGTTTTGTAAACAGCTGACTAGCCACTATGCCATATTTTAGAGAAAAGTTGGAGACAGCTGAGCAATATACAGACTGTGATACAAGCTGAAGGATAACATCAACAGATGCAAGAATAGCAGTCTGTCAAAGTGTAAAACCAGATGGAGAGACAAAGTTTTGGAGATTCATAAGTGTCAACCTTAACTGAGGACCTGGCATCTGATTCTGACCATTTCCTTCAATATTCGGCATTGAAGCAAACCCACTGTTAACTAAGTAATGAGCACACTCCTAATCACTTCATCAAGCTCACAACAAACAACAAGTTCAGCTGGTTAAGTCATGAAAAGTGATTTATTATTTTGATGCCCATATTTACATTCACTTGTTTGAGAATCAGCTGGACTTGAAGACGGCAGTAGTTAAGCGATCTGTTTTTTTCACGAAAACTGACCTGAAAAAATGTTTAATGAGCATAAAAATATTAAATATAGAGAACAAGCATGAAACAGGAAAGTATGAAAAAGTGATAACCATTTATTTTGCTTTAGACAAAAATCTGGTTTTTTTTTTTTGCCTCATCATGAGCCATACTGGCAAGCATCGGCGATTATGGTTTCCCATCTCACATCATCACAAGAGTTATATCTAAGTCGTGCACGTATGTTTCCTTTTAGTGTTTGTGCCCAGTTAGGAGTGAAATCAGGAGACATACTACAGTCAACAATATGAACTTAACTAGGTCAATTCAAGTAGATGCTGATGCTGTATACCTGAACCAAACCAAGAAAAGTCTTCATAAACTTTGTTACCTCATGCAGCAATTTCATGCTTTTTCTCACCTATTTACACATAAGAAATGTTCATAATTGGATGGTTTTCATGGCTGTAGTGTTTTATATGAGGATGTAGCCAAGCCCAACCATACATCACATGCCCTATCATGGGTAGCCAGTCATTCCACTATTATTTCCTCCTAGATACGTTTAAATTTTAGGTTAGGTTTGAACAATAGATCAACATTAAGGCACAAGGGTAGAAACCCATAAGTGCTCTGTTCTACTTCGAACTGAAGCCTGGGTCCCAAGAATCTCAGCGCAGCGTAGGAGCTCCATAGCACTGGCGAGGATACTGAAATACTTTGGGTAAATTGTTACTCCAAATTTTTCCCGGGCAGCACCGTTAGACTATTCTTTTCAATTTTCAACTGCCAAGGGATTTTTGTATGTGCGCAAAAATACATATGAATGTCTAATCTTGCTACCCAGAGATCAGGTAAAATTACTAGAAATTCATGTGAAAAATCCAAGCCTTCAACCGGGTCTGAACCCGGGACATCCAGCACTAGAGGCGGACACCATGCCTAGGGACCACTCAGCCCCGCCCCTTCTCCTCACCCCAGATATGTCAAAATAAAGAACCCAACCCCAACCGTTAGTCATCTCTTCTGATGTGCTTGGTAGGATGCAATGATACTACTCTCTGCTTTTTCTTAAAGCCAAGGTAACAGACAGGTGTGAGTTGGTTGAGCAGTTGTGCTCCGCTGGATGGTAAAGAGTAGAACACAAATTATAAGAGATGTTGCTGACATTAAGGTCTAGTTTAAAAACACTTTTTAAAATTAAAATACAAAAAAGAACTACAGCTGTACCGAATAGTGATTTAAACTATTCGGCCGAATACGAATAGTGGGACCAACTATTCGGCCGAATATGAATAATGTATCATCATCATCATCAGGTGCCTTGCCGACTGGCGTGGGCGATCATGCCTCTCCACAATCTGCTATTTCCTGCAGCATGTATCAGTTCGTGTGCTGACACACCTCCATGCCATGCAACAAGACTGTCAAGAATCTTCTATCGTTGTCTTCCTCTATCCCTCCTTCCACAGATCTTTCCAGTGGTCACCAAATGTTCAATTTTCCATCTTCTCATAACATGGCTGAAAAATGACGACTGTCTCCTTCTGATGTCTGTGACTAGTTGTCCTCGGGCTCGCGCCTCTTTCAAAACCATCGTTCGCTCGGCCGTTCATTCGATGTAATTTAAACGCACCTTCATATTCTCGTTAGCAATATCTTCAAATTTGATTTGGGAGAAGACACCCTGAAAGAACAAAAAACGCAAGATCTCTCTCTCCCTCTCTCTCTCACACACAGACACACACTCACACTGCGGTTGGCATTTTATGAAGTTTGTACCAGGCAACCGGGTCGCAGTTTGCCCCGCTACAACAGACTTAGGCAACAGCAACTATTGTGTTAATGAGAGAGTTATTTCAGTCCATCACAGTGTATGCAGAAACAGGAGTAAGGTAACCACTATTCGGCCGAATACTTAATAGTTATAAGGTCCACTATTCGGCCCCAAAGCGAATATTCGGTACAGCATTAAATAGAACATTAACAAATTGTGTTATATTAATATTACAATAAATGAAGCTTTCCAATATCTGCACTACAATGTGGTAACTGCAGTCAAAATGTTGAGGGTTCCACATTTTGACATATCTAAGGTGAAGTAATAATGAGAGAATGGCAATCCATGAGTGGCTAATGACGACTGCCTGGAAATGGCTAATGAAATTAGAAAAGTGCACACGAATCTAGAAGAGAGACATTGAAAAAACATCACGATGACTGGAAAGATCAATGTTAGCGGAAGCAGAAGTAAACCAAGAAAGATGATGCTTGATGGTCTGCAGCGATGGCATGGAGAAATATTAGCAGAGAATTTGATTAAGAATCTCAAGGACCGAGATATGTGGAGAGACATGAGTGCCTCTGCCACCTCACAGAGTGAGGATGATGATGATACAAGAATAATGCTCTGTTAGCTCTAGTAACGAATATTTAAAGTGATAGCTGCCACTACTGTAATTCCCCTAAAGAACACTTGATAATGTATTTTTTAAAGTAATTCAACATTACAAGTTATAAGACAAACAAGACAGCACTATATTAGACATATCCTGAGAAGACAAATGGAGAATAATCAGACATGCTCTAAAATGGGAAATAAAGGGACTGAGGAAGTTAGGACATCCAAAATAAACCCTAAAATTAGAGCTGATGAGAGAGGCCAAAGGTGCTGGACTAGATTTTATCTATGACATCAAAAGGGGCTGCACTGGTTAGAAAGGAATGGATGCACAGACGGCGAGCTCTGTGTAATATATAATGGCACAACAGGAAAGTGAAGATGATAAATTCCATCACCAGAAGGCAGTATGTACCATTGTAATCATAAAAAATTATTGTACCCATTTTCTGCTTCCAGGCAAATGACCGGGTTAACCACGTTAGGACTTTGTGATAACTCCGCAGCTTGACTGACTAGTGAATACAATGAACCACTGCACTGTTGTGGAATAGTCCCTTTAGCTGCAAACATAAAGACATTTTTTTTTTTTTTTTAAACAGTTCTCTTCTTCTTTCTTTGCTGCAAACTCTGGCGGAAAGTTCTGGTTGTTCATCCACTTTTGGACTGCAGCCCTGTTCCAGAACCTGAGTGTTGCGTGTGCATCCGTTTTACAGATCTGACTCATTTGTATGCAGACTGCTGGTTCTTAGCCTCTCAGGCAGATGCACTCCGACTTCGAAGGAAAAGAAAACATTTAATTATGACACACAAATTTAATTCGTACAAACCTCCAAAAGGCCAAAATCCACTTTCTAGTTAAGAATTTCAAACGAGACTTCCTCTAAAATCATATACAATTCTCTTTTAAATATGAGTTGAGGTGAGTAAAGAATTGACATCACAGATCTCGGGACATTCTCATATGCGATCCACCCTCATCATCAGCAGCCAGCAAAGAGTTACAATTTGAAAAATACCAGTGTTGGTTCTGGGACTCGCTTTAGAGGGAAAAAAGACCAGACCCGCTGCCCCACTAACAAACATGTCATTACTGCAACTGATTAGGGGTTTGCCGAAATATGTTGGCCCAGAAGGCACAGACACCGCAGCCTAGCTGTAAACTACAACACATTGTGCCAATCACCATTCTAAGGGTGAACACAGAAGAATAAATGCGTAACTGTGTGGGTTTCTTGGAATCTCGCTTTTCAGAGGTTAACAGCTTGCATGCCTTGATGCAAAATACCTAGCTGTCTTCACCCCTTTCTACAGAGCTTTCCTGTAGTCACAATATACTCCACTTTTTGTCCGGGGGAGGGAAGGGGTGCATATGCCACAAACTGTGAAGGTTCAGATGTTAATTTTCTGAAAAGAATAACTCAATGTTATTTTTAAATAGTAGATAATAATAATAATAATAATTTGCCTGAGCATTACGCTAAAATGATAAGATAAATATTATTCCAACCGTATATTTTTTCTATCTAGCAAACTTGTCGTAACAACCGCATTACATAGCCGGTAGCTAAGTAAACAGTACAACACAACTAGGCTAGTTGAGGACTGACCAATCACCAGCAATTTCTAAGGATGTAACATTGGTGTCACTTTAGCAGCATCTTGCAGCTAAATGACTAAAGGTGTAACTGAGAACAAATATGTGTTTTTACATTTATCAAACAGGGGCAGGGTGTACAGTAATATTATTTCTCCATCATATACAGCAAGAAGGGAGTCCAGATTTGAAAAATACTAACCTCCTAAGCAAAGTCCACTATTGTCTACACAGATAATCCCAGAGGCTCCAGATACATGCAGACTGCAAGTGAAAAGCGAAATAATTCAAAATAAAATATATGGTTCTAGTTATGTTAAGAGACCTAATAATGAGAGTTCCCCTTCCCATATGCTAGATCTGGTCATCTCATCTCCCTTTCTACAGGCTGCTACAGTCCTGTAGTCACATGGAGTATTGGGGTTACTCCACATTTTTGTCAGCGGGGATGCAATATCGCTGGGAAGGAGTGCACACACTATGCCACAAAAATAGTACTGTGAAGGTATCAGATGTCACTAATTTTTATCTGACAAGAATAACTCAATGTTATTTTTATAAATATATATATATATATATATAATATATATATATATATATATATATATATATTATATATATATATATATATATATAAAATCTGATAGCATTAAACTCTAAAATGAAAGGAGATAACCGAATTTTGAACCGTCGTTATTTGAAATTCAACCGTCATATTTTGACTATCTATACGCAAACTTTAGTTTCTAATTATTAACAATTTACCATTCGCCGGCGAGTAGTGCAGCCAACGCCTATTAATACATATAGATCGTGGTCTGAGCAAACAAGACTATCTCTAAGCCACAATAAAAAACACGATTTCTATTTTCTGTTTTTTTTTCAAACAACCTTTGATGGAGGGGGGGGGGAGGGGGGGCAATCGAGGACTATCTCGACGTCGGCGCAGACAGTGACTGCGACATTAACTTCATTAACTGTGTTAGACACATGCGATTTCTATTTCATTAATATATCTGGAGTATCTGTCTACGAGAAAACAATTGCCTGCGGTTTTGAATTGTGTTTTAATCGCGACACAGTGGTAGGGACACATATGTCTAATAGTTGTGTTCTCTTTTCGTTGTTCCGATTAAGTGGCTGCTTGGTCGAATGGTTAGAACACTGGGTTCAAGTGCGGTAGACCTGGGTTCGAATCCGCAGTAGTTAAATTTTTTTTTATTACCCCGGACTAAAATAATATCCTCATCTGCTCTGTCGTGGTGACAGCACTAGCCATGTTGCCTTAATATTTAAAAAAAAAAAAAAAAAAGTAAATGGGTAAACCATTTGATAATTAAATTTGACCATTTCGCATACTTATGATTGCATTGTTAAACTTTCCGATTGCATGGTTACGCTGAAATTTTATAGATTTTCATTTAGATTTAGTTATTTCATCTGTGTTGGAATTTTAAGCTGTGCTGTTTACAATGGCGTTCATTTCCTAATTATGGTGGTTTTTTCCTGTGTTCATTTTCTTTTCAAGTGTTTTTTTTTCGCCCAACTACTTCAATGTGGGAAAGAGTTGTCTGTGAATTTGGGGGGAGGGGGGGCAAACTATTAACTGAGAAAAGTACAGTAACCTTTACCCACTTAAAGTAGCAGCAGCTAATAGTTGTGGTTGAGCTGTTACACCATAGTGCTCTCATGTGAAGACCGCCGGTAAGGTTATGGCGTTCTTCTGTCAGCAAGTGAAATTATACATCCTAACCTGACTCTGTGGCGACAGCACTAGAAATGCGGAACCAAATACGACTCTCACTCCGATGGTAACACAGATAGCAGTGACATTATTTTAGTAGTTGTACTGGTACTTGAAGGATCATGTGGTAAATATTTCACTAGCCTATTCACTACCTTTTACAATTCCTGCTATTTTAGTCCAGATGGACCAATGTCAGTTACCAACAAAATATCCCAGTTTGATTTTCAAATCCTTCGAAGAGGGAGAGAGCAGTAGTCGGTGGAAGAGGGGAGGGGAGTAATAACTTAAATTTAAGGAACTTAAAGAGCTCACATTTTCAAGTTCTTATTACCTAATTTGTTTATATTTTACTAAAGTACGTCCGCTTTTCTATTTTTTACGACTTACTTTGACAAGTAGTTGTATTTACTTCCGTCTATAAAAATAGGCTTTAGCATGTGATAACCAAATAACCGCTTTTGTTACCGTGCTAATAACACCATTTAAACGACCACTTATAAAGACACAATTATATGGTGCGTGTTTAAAGTTGGAAAACCAGACTATCTATCTATATATATATCTATATATATAAAAATCAATGTTTGTGTGTTTTTGTTTGGTCTCTATAGACTCGCTACTGAACCGATTTGGCTGAAATTTTCAGGATATGTTTGTTGTGATACCGTATTTGAACGTCGTGGTTTGAAATTCAACCTGTCACAGAGATAGGAGACCACAATTTATGCCAAAATACGCACTACCTTTAGTGATTTCTAATTATACACAATGCGCATGCGCCGCCGTAGTCAGAACGCAGGCTTCAGCCATTCGCCGGCGAGTTACGTGCAGCCACAATACATACAGGCGCTACCGCAAACAAGACTATCGAGGGATACAATAAGATTAAACATGATTTTTATTTGGATGGGGGGGGGTGGGTGGGGGGGGGGGGCAATCAAGGACTATCTCCTCGTCGGCGCAGACATTGACTGCGTCATTAACTTTATTAGACAGGTGCGATTTCCATTGTCTTTCTTTTCTAAAAACCTTTGATGATCGGTGACTCAAATTACGCCACAGCAACGCGTGACCGGGTACAGCTAGTATATATATATATATATATATATACATATAATATATATATATATTTATATATATAATATATATATATATATATTATATATATATATAGGTTACCACAAAGTACTTTGAAAAAAAGTTATAAAAATACTTTCTAATCACTATCCTTAGTGCAGTTGCAGTGGGGTCACTTCAGCCAGCCAGCCTATCAGTTCTATTCATTCTTCTTTTTCTTTCGTTCGCATGAAATAAATTATCTGTATCTGCAATGCTGTCTTTAGTATGAACTTCCCTGTCTTTTGTAATTCACTAAGTGGCCTGTAAAGTTTTACTTCCATAAGTGTCTCTTTTAGGCCAGAAGTTTTGCCTGGAAGTGTTGAATCTGCGACAGTCTTGGAGGATGTGATCTGTTGTCTGAGGTGCCAGTCCACAGGTACACATGGCTGATTCGCCAATCTTAAATTTTGTGTACATGTGGTAGCGAAGTCGATTGTGCCGTGTTCTAAGGCGAAGGATAATGACTTGCTCTGGTCTGTCCATAATATGGTAATCGTCTTGTGCCAGTTTTGGTGGCTTTCTGATTGATTTGATTATTCACTTTTTTTGTTGATAAGAGACTGAATGGTATGTCAGGTTGTTTTTCAGTTGCACCTTCCTTAGCTAGTTTATCAGCTCTTTCATTTCCTGGAACTCCACAGTGGAAAGGTATCCACTGCATAAATAAATTACAACGGTTGCCTAGTGTCTGTATACTCGGTAATTTTCCAGACTTGAGTACCGCTTTTGCATCTGTCAGGAATACCACTGGTTATGAAAAATACCCTGTATTTAGTAGCTTCTCTACTGCTATCTTGATGGCTTGAACTTCTGTATCATAGTTGTGACAGTGCTTTCCTGTTGGTATTTTGGCTGTATCCCTGGTATTGGTATTATTAGGATACTCAATGTACACTCCTGCATATCCATTTCTGACAGCACTTTCTGCTGACCCATCTGTGTAAACACGGACCCAAAGATTCTGTGGGTATTCATCATCAAGTAGACTGAGGGTGGCTGTTTTAGGCTGCACACTGTTTTGTTCTTCCTTGTCAAATACTCCTTTCCTTCTGTCTTGATGTGTATTGGAAACTTATACTCCTCTCTCCAGGGGGGTCCGTTCTGGGACAGCATTTAAGGGGCAATCAGTTGCAGGCAGATTAGTGGTTTTGCCATTGTGGATGAAACTACTTCTCTTTAGTTGTCTCAAAGCTAGATTTTGGAATCTTTCATTCTTAGAGTGACTAGGCATACTAAGAAACTTTTCTGCTTGTATCAGCATCTTGGTGTCTCTGCGTTCACTCAGTGCTTGGGTCATCCCCATTTTCTCCATCACAGCTACAGGTGTTGATTTCATACTGCCTGTGGTAACTCTGAGTGCTTGATTTTGCACTTTGTATAATTCTTGCAATGTGGTTTTTGATGCCGAACTTCATGCTGTTGATCTGTATTCAAGGTGTGGTCGAACACTTTGTTGTAAACTTTCCTAAGTATTTTTCTGTTTATTCATAAACACTCCTTGTAGGTCTCCATCAAGACTGATTTAAAAAAAAATTATCCCAGGGTGATAAATCTTTCAGGCAGCAGCCTGGAGGGGACAAATCAATTATTGTTAGGAGGCTGAGCAGGTTAAAAGTTCTGTCAAAGTTCACATAAGCTAAGCATAAAATACAGTGTTCATGCTTGTGTGATCTATGGGAAGAGATTGCTGCACTGCTGAGATATCCATGTAGGTGATAGGTGATCATTCACTAAATTCAAAATCAAGATGAGCTAAAGAATTGTTGGAAAATGGAAAGGCTGGCTAGCTCTGCACCAGTGGGTGGTGAATTTATGCAAGACAGGCTAGATGTGGTCACAGTCCCGTGGTTGACGCTACACACACACAGGAAAAGCAAGAGGCAATATAATGAAACTGCTGCTAGTGACATCAAACTGCATCTCTTCACTGGCTGTTCAAGGTGAGGTAGGTAGGTAGGTAGGTTAAGTAGGTAGTAGTTGTATCCCACCACGACATCACACAAGCGACAATCATAAACACCCGGTGACACAAAGTGCCACCGTGCTTATGAGGATCACCAGTGGAGAGGTCCAGGAAACCTCTTTCAGCCGTTAGGCCATATCTATGCCCCGGCTATATTCAGGGCCCCTGACAGATGCCAGGGTGGGGTTTCAAGATGAAAATGGAGTGGGGTGTTTGGAATGTCCCGAGCGCTGTGATGTTATGTTAGATCTTGTTCAAATTGTTGTTAGATAAACATCAACACCGTCTCTACAACTTTCTTGAAGAAGATATATACCACTGAATTTGAAAAGTAATTATATAGCATTAAACTTTTCACATATATGTCCACTACATACGCGTCGTGCATCTGTTTATCTAACGCCTTCTCCATTCCAGCACAATTGATATCTCCTTTACTTCCCTTCTGACCAGGTGAGACAACTTTTATTTATCAACGATTCTGTCACATGATCAGTCGCCACCGGAAGTGACTGCGAGACGTCGTCGCCCTATCAATGACCCGGAAGTTTTTCCGACGCTTGCTTCGTGGCAAGCTCTTTTCAACTTGCATTTCATCATACTATAGTAAATGGATTCTCTGTGAGCCCCAGGAGATTGTTTCCGTTATTTCGGCAACAGGCAGAACTTACATCACAACTTCACCCTTAAATACGTTCTAATTTTGGTACGTGGTCTATCTTTGCATTTTGTCACTTTTCTAACAGATACAAAATTGAGTATTCAATGTTTCCGGCTTTGAAATTTGATATTAGTTTCTTTTAGTACTTTTACACTGACTTTACTAGTTTTAGACTTGAATATTTTAATACTTATGTAAATTTAGTGTACTGTAAGGAAAAGGGAGAAAGCAGATTGAAGAGATTAGTATTAATAATAATTCAAGAAAAATTAATTGGGTCGTTGAATCATAATGAGTCATTGGTGTGGTTTATTTATATTTTTTTTAGCGGCTGCTATATCAACTATATGATGCCATTACTGGACTAAAAAGCTAACAGTAACTTTATGAATATTTGATGCAGCCAGTGAACTTTTGAACTAAAACACTAAAGACTTATGCCTTGGTGAATATCAGGACTGAAAACCGGTTTTGTTAGTTAGGGACAGAATTTATATGAAGAAGAATAATCTGGTCCTTACGTAGTGCATTTCAGTATGCAGCCAGTACATTAATTACAGAAAAATAATCTTCTTGGAGAGACTTGGCATATCTGGTTTCTCTCCGATATATAATTATAAATGTTAGGAAATAAATAGGTGAAGGTGAATCAGATCCTTAAATTGCCTTGTAGTTAGCAGCCAATGTACTACAGAAGCACCATCTTTTGGGAGAGCCTGAACATCCATGTTTTCTCTGTCATGGGCAGAGATATCAGTTCAGGGTAGTACTAATAACTAAGCTTCCAGGGTCTGCATCCAGACTTTAGAGTTAGCTGTGATTTCAATCAAAGGCTTTTAAGGAAAGTCAGAATTGATGATATGGGATCTACATCCTCTATTCAGAGTAACACTGCTTTGCTCTCTACACGTGGTTGGGATCAACGTGTATTTTCAGCATGTCTTTACAGAAAGTTTCTGCTTCAAAGAACCCGAAAATCTCTCTCTTTCTCTCCCCTTCTAAAAAACCCCATATTTAAGCCAATGATTTTTTAAGTCCGGGGGCCCCTTCACAGAGGTCAGCCTCTACTGGGTTTTTCCCGAAAAATGTACCCCCCATCATGCTGCTGTGTGAAAAAATGGGAGTTTGGGAAAGGGCCAAAGTAAGAAAGGCTGCGTGTAATTTGTAAAACCCCTTTTAAAAAAAATTTTTTTCTTTGTTTTCCCCCAGGCCCAAAGGGAATTGAAAAAAGAGACTATGAAAATAAAACTGCCCAGAAAACCCAGACAACAAAGTGGGGTTGGTTAAAAAAATTCCTTAAAAGAGCAAACCCCTTTTAAATCCCTTCTTTTATTTTTCTGTCTCCCAAAGGGTATCTAGAAAGAGTTTTTACATCACATACAAAAAAAAGGGGGTTTACATAAAACCCC